AGGAACAGGGTTTGAGCTGAGGACGGAAGGAGAGTAGGATTTGGCAAAGTGCATAGACAGTTCCACATTCTAGGTGGAAGAAACGCTGTGTTCTCTTATGAGAGGCTTTGCAGACAGCATCCTGTAGACCATGAGAAAGCAACTTTTCAGAGAGGCTTCAAAGGCAAGTTTTCTGTTTATACAGACCTGAAGCTTTTTCTTATTCAACCCCATTCCTTGCTACTCTTTCTGCTGTTCTTGTCTCCCAGCACATACTTACGTTGTCAGTTGATACTCACGTCCTCACTTGCACCTGTTTTATGTTTGGATTTGTTATTTTTTAACTTGCTTATTCATGCCCCAGGGGCTTGTACAATGTCTCCTATTTTTAAATTTTCATTTTACTTTTCTCTGCACTACATCACTGGGACTCTACACAGCAATGTTCTTGGTATACCTAAAATACACATGCCTAAAAAATATTTACTTTTTTCATAAAAAAAATTGTTTATATGTACTTCCTAGTTTTAATATATAGATAATTTAGGAATTTAATTGACCAAATTTATGAAAGTACTACCAGGAGCAACTGAAATAATGCTTGGCCAGACATGGTTCAAAGTAATCCTTATGGACAAGAGTTTATTACTTATTTTGGTTTATGTTTCAGATACTTCCTTGGCAATCAGTTATACCATAATAATAGGGTAATTTGATTAAGGAACATAAATTATAAAATTATGTTATGCCTTTAAATGCATAACATGTTTTCAGTCTCCTCAGTAATACACCAGCATTTCCTTCCAGGGAGAGGAATTTATTGCACTCCACACTTGGTCTTGTGGACTCACATGCCATGACAAACTCTCTCATAATGACCATCTCCAAGTTGGAGAGCTGCTAGGATGTGGATGGTGCTACAAATTCTGCCCATCCAGGGCTGGGCGAGAGGAAGATCGCTTCAGGTCCTTTTCTGCCTTTCCTACAAGCTCAGCACTTAGATACTGGCTAATCTAAATCCCCATTTGTTGCTGACGTCACTTTAACCCTCAGGAACAAAGCAGTAACTGGGTCAACTTATTCCTGCCATGTTCCAGGTAAAATTCGCTCCACTGGGTGAGAACAATTGAGGAAATGATACATCCTCAGAGAAGAGTAAGGAGCATTTTTCAAATGTTTCAAGGAATATGTTGACAGTCTACTTGAAAAGCACACACATAAACATTGCTTTAAAATGAATACAGTGTAGACAATTGCATAGCTAAGGGCAACTGACCTGATTCTTTTCTCGAATGACTACCATGCTCCCTGCTGTGGGTGATTTGGAGGCTTATAGAGAAGAGCGGGACACGGTCCTACAAATGCTTTGAAAAGAAACTTATTTCTGGGGGGGGTGGGGGGTGGGGGGGGGTGAAAATAGATCCTGTGTATATTTGCTAAGATAGAAGGGTTTTGAAACTAGCTTTCATTGATCACTGAATTAAGAAATCAATACTGTTGCTTTATAAAAGGGACTACCACAGAGTGGTTTGCTGTACCGACTAAGAGCATGGGGAAGATAATTAACCAGGTCCTAATCAATGGCAATACAGCTTAGCCCAACAAGTCATTAGGAAAACTCATGCTGTTTTCACGACCCACAAACCTTGCCTGTCTTATGAACCAACACAGCAGATGCAAGTCCTCTGTTGACTTCTAGAATTCCTCCCATTTTGTGGGATGGTAAGGGAAGGGGAGAAGCTGAGAGAAAGCTCCCCTCCCCACCAAACAACAGGACTAAGAAAGGAAACAGGGCCCAGATGAGGAGATTCCACTGTCTGCAATGACTCACCACAGAAGGGAGGGGATGCAAGTATTATCATTCCCGTAGGTACTCTCTGAACACAGAATTTTGAGACTGAAAGCTCTGGGCTCTCGTTTGGGACTACATGTTTCTATTGGATGGCAGGGATGGTTAAATTATGGGTTGGATTTGCACTAATTTATGCCTTGGAACCTCACCCTCATTTCCTCCTGCTCCGTTCAGATAAAGACTCTTTTCCACTCATACTTGGGAAGTTCAGAGCAGTGAAGAAGGCATGGTGCTGTCACCTGGGCATATCACCAAGGTCAGTCCCAAGAGGAGGAGCAGGTGAGCATGAGAGGTACAGAACAATCTTCTACTGAAATATTTCCCTTGCTGGTCAACAGAAGTGCCTTGATTCTACCATTTACGATTTCTTGGTTTGGATTGCCATTGACCACATGTTTTAAAATCTTTCAATGTATTAATTGAATAGCATATTTTGATTCTTAGACATATAAATCCTTCTAAGATGCATAGCTGAAAGCAAGGCCCTCTGTGGAAAGATTCCTTGGAAGAGGTCATCGTCGACCAGTTGTTCCAACTCTTGGATTTGCTTTGGCCTGGACCAGTGTGTGGTCTAATCTGAGCTGGGCAGCCAGGAACCCACAGAAGTGGGAGTAGAACACCATCCTCTGTGCTCTCCCCTCTCCAGCTCACCCTCCTACTCCTGTCAAAGCCTACGTCCCCCTGCATGTGGGCATCTGCCCAGCAGTGATCAGCCTCTGCAGAGCCAGGAGCTCTTCGCTTCCCTCCCATACCCCTTCCATCCTTTCAGTCCCCCTCAGAACCTTTCTAAAGCTGCTTTTGTATTTTGTGAGCCAGGATAACATGTTCTGGATTGCAGTCACTGTTATCTCATGGTAGCATCGTACCCAGCGCCAGATTTTAAGTCCCTTGAGGGGGAAGCTGTGATTGTATGGCCTTAGGGTTCCCTCTGACCCCTGTCCCAGCACAGAGCATGCAGTAGGAGCTTGCTGCAGATGAACGTGCTGGGTACACACTGGGGGTCAGCAGTGGCTTCACAGGACCACTTGGTCACTGGGAAGGCCACAGAACTTAGTTTTGGACCTGACTCTTCCACTGACCTCTCCTCTAATTTTAGAGTCTTGATAGTTACCATGAATTGAATCAGTTAATTTGTTGATAATGCATTTTCCTCTGGTTTTCTCAAATTTTGCTCCCAACAACTTTTTGAGGTAGATGCTATTTTTCTCATTTTATAGCTTAACCAGTATATGGTGGAATTAGAATTCAAACCCAGGTCTTCCTTATGTCAAAATATTTGCTCTTTCCAGTAGATGGCATAATTTTGGTTTCTTTATTTATACTGTCAAGGCAAAACCCATATCAGCATTTATGACTTTTGGTGATATTGACCATATAATTAGAATAATAAGCCAGGTCTTTTGATGAGTCAGAATTGGCTTCTTCCTTTGAAAGCAAGTATTGAGTTTTAGTAGCCCACATTTTTTTTCTTTAACCTGTTCATGGGCAATAAAACAGTAAGGTCAGATTAAAAAAATACATATCTGCAAAGTGTAGTTTGTTAATTACCTTGGACACATTAATATTTACACATCTGCTATAAAGTACCATTTACTACACAGGGAGACACTAAGGTCATAAAAATCACATATGCAATCTCATAGTAGAGGTGGTATTGGGTAAATGTAAATATTTATGAAATGATTGACACATCTGGTAGAATTATTATTGAAGTATAACAGATACCTATTTTAAATTGTCTCTTCTCAAATAGAAAGTTCCAGCACTCCTGCCTCAAGTATAGAAATAGTGCTAAAAATTACATGGTGTGCATTGAGATGTGCAATATTTTCTATGTATCTAATGAAGTCAAAGGGTGTTTATGAAAAACCAATTATCCTAATTACTCATAATTTGACTGTGTGCTCTGAAGAAGGAAAGAAATTTGAAATAGCTCATTTAGAACAGCACAGAATTATACATAGAATTTTAAGTGCCACAAATCTGGAATATAGAAATAAGGTTATTCCAATGCTAATAGAACCAATTTAAGTGGCTTGAGACATGTGAATACAACATGGGTATAACACAGCTCCTTCTACTGCTTGGGGCTTTCATTATAGTAATTTGGCAGAAGGCAAACTGTCTGACTCTTAGACTCATGGGCTTTAATTTCTATGACATTAGTGCTCTCACCAGAAAAAAAAAATTTAACTTTGAGTAGCCTACAGGAGTGACAGGGGGTAGCTCAAAGAGTGCAAAGCAAAGATTTATCTGAGTTCTGGTTCTTGTTCTGGGCGTTTTCATGAAGCCAGTCTTCCTGGTGGATGGGAAAATGAGAAGGTAGAGCTAGTTGACATGTTCCTCAGCTCTTTTCCAGCTCAAAAAATCTGTAACATTCTAGATGTGGTGCTGCTCTACCTAGCAAAGGGGAGAGCCAATTATCAGCATTTTATCTGCTTTAAATGGCATGCTAAATTATTCTCTTTTTTGGGGGTAGTTATTATCTGGCTTCTTTGCATACAGTTTTGGGTTTATATGCTAAGAAGTTGTTTACAGACTTGTCTCTGACCAAAATAATACTTTAGTAAAGATTAATGTAGGAAATATAGGTCGGCTCAGGGGTAGTGTACTTCTAGTGGTTCCTTACACCATCAACTTCCAGATCGGTACGTCACTATATTTGGAGACTCTTATGTGTGTGGCAGTGCTTGTGCAGTGGGTGGGGCACACTTATTGCTCCTTGCTCTGGAGAGAGCCCTGTCATTGGCTTTGGCCAATGGGATGTTAGCAGATGTGAGGCAAAAAGAACCTTGAGAAGGGTTAGCGTTAGCCCCTTTGTCCCAGGAGGCGGTACAAGAAGGAGCATAGCCCCCCTCAGTGAAGCCCAGCCTCCCTTAGCTCCCTCCAGCTGATCTTCAGACTTGTAAACTAATAAACAACTTTTGTTTTCCACCACCAACTTTTGTAGCAGTTTGTTATGCTGCAAGAGCTGTGTGATATACTGCTAAACACTTTCCACTGGTAAGAAGATGTTCTGTCTGCAAACCTATATTGTCCAATACTCATAGAAATCAGTAACGACATTGTCAATATCACCCACTGATGGTGTTAGGATATCCTTCTTCCCCCGCCTCCCCCAATAAAAACAAAGAAACAGCCTTTGTTCAGCAGCATCAGCGCATCTTACCTGAATGGAAACACTGCTGTAAGAGCCGCCGATGACCCCAGCAATGAGCAGTGGCATGTTTTCTTGAATGGCATAGGACCCGTCAGGGCACATGTACTCGGCTTCGTCCACTTTCGTCAAGGATGCTCTGACGAACTCCAGCGACTGCTCTAATGCATAGGTATCCCTGGAACACGTATCCAAAATGTGAACACCCAGCTTCACCCCCGGCAGCAAGTAATTGTCTTTGTTGATCTCATCAATGGCAAACAACATGGCTTCTAGGCGTTGGATTCCCCGGTCTTCATTGATTCGCCCGCATTCTTCAGTTCCAGTGCCCTTTTCATTAATAGGAAACAGCCCCCCTAAAACAAGGTCACCTTCTATTTTAATCTCCCTCCTCATAAAGTTATGGTCCCCTAAGGAGAGTAGCAATCCCTTTGAGAAAAAAGCGAAGGTAAGAACTTGGAGTCTTGTCAGCATCTTCATGAGTCCTGATTGTGTCCCTCCGGGAGATACGGCGGATGGCACCAACGCTGCCCACTAGTCCTTTCCTCTCATTTCCACTCTGGGCCTTTGGCCACCAGTCCTTCAAATGAGGGGGGAGCAGACTAACCAAGCCTGTCACCAAATTCCTAAAGAGAGAAAATCAGTATGAGCCACAATGTAAAGAAAGCAATAGCTGTCACATCCGTGGTCCCCAGTCAGACATTTGAGGGAGCAGTGACTCAAATCACCATTTCCCAACACACACTTCCCCTGTGCACTGGGCACCTGCCCACAGTTCTGCTGCCCGGTCCTTAAAGCACACCGTGATTCTCCCCTCAGTAGTCCCATCTTCCAGAGATGGGCACTGAGGTCTCAAGAGGTAAACTGACCTGGAATGGAGACAGTGTTCAGACTAATGCCAAGTTCATTACTGTCTGTGCTGAGTCATGTCCTTCATTTTTGGTAGGGTGGCCCCTTGAAAATTAGCCTGTTTACCTTCTCTTTCAGCTGTATTTTGCAAACTTACCTTTTTCATCTACCCTTCCCTTTTCCTTTTGGACACACGTACACTGAACTCCGTCACCACTTCTGCATTTCTGCCACCACACAGCTGTCCTTCCCCTCATCAGCGAGTTCTCCAAGACAAGTGTCCCTGGCCTTTCCCCATGACCTCCTATCCCACTGCCATTTGGCTTCTGTCTCCACTGCTCTAACAAAGCGACTCTGGACAGAGCTGCTCCCCATCCACTAGTTTCTGAATCCACTCACTGCACTGTTCATGTTACCTGACCTTTTGCATTTTGGGTCTCATGCTGTGCTTCTGACTACGTCTCAGATATAGAATCTGGAACACCTGCTCTCGCTCTTCCTTCAGCCCCCATTCCTAGGCCAGCAGCTATTCTCATAGTTTCAGTTACTACTTCAAGGAGCTCCATGCTGCCAGGCCACTGCCTCCTAAGAAGCTTTACTCACACATCCCTCAAGCATCTGGAGGGCCACATATCATGAGCTGGCCCTCATCTCTGTGAATGCATCTCATCCAGGCTCTCAACCAGAAATCTGCCGTCCTCCCTGCCGCCTTCCACTAATTAGTACAAAGCCCCAAAAGTCTGTCTGCTCAACCTCTCTCGAAGCCACTGCCTCTTGTCTATTTCCACTGTGTCTGGCTCTTGGAATCTGTAGCAGGACCATAGCACTTGGTTTCTAGAGCTGCTGTTAGCTCTCAAAGCACCTTTTCATGAATTAGGAAATTTCTCATGTGCAAAGTTATAAAACCTATTTTTGTATAATCTGTACAGTCATCAGTGATGAGGAACACATTGTTAGCGTCTGCCTCCTCTAGCCAGTGTCAAGAAAAGCTCATATGGGCCCCACATACATCAGTGAATACAATGATTCCCAGCGTTGCGGTTTGCACAGAAGATGGTAGCATAGGGCAGTTCTATAAATCAAGCTTCTTTTCACATTGTAGGCTAGAACATATGCATCCAGTGGGAACCAGGCAAAGCCCTGCTGTGAGGATGATGTTTTGGAAGGTAGGCTGAGATCTTCCCAGCAAGCTTCCCCAAACCCTGGTGTGGAGCCAGAAGTCCAGTTGTCTGCACACACGGACCGACTGTTGTATTGTCTGACACCTGACTCCCAGCAGGCAAACACCTGGTCTGCCCACTCGTTCTGCTTGCCTACCTCCCCCTCCCCCCAGACGAAATGAGTTTATTATCGGAAGCAGAGGATATATGCCTGCATGGTGCTCCTGGAGCATTCTTTCTCCTGACAGGGGGCAGCCCCCATGCCCTTGTGTTGGGGGTTGAGTGTGCCTGTCTGCTCTATGACTTTCATGCATGATGGTATGCGGGTGAGCTTTACAGAGGGGGCTCTACCAGCTGCTCCCAGACTCAGGATGTCTGAAAGCCACACCACCTATGTGCTCTCTGGCAAATGAGCACACATTAGCAATCCGCACGGTGTCCCAAAGCAGGAGATGCTATACAGCACAATCTTAATTCCTGTTCAGAGCAGCCTGTCTCCTTTCACTCCATACTGACTCTTGCTTACACGTGTAAGAATTGACTTCTTAAGACATTTCTCCAGTATTCCACGACCTTGTCTCTGATTGGCTGTCAAATCTTACTACTTGCCATACCCAACAGCTTCATCCCACATGGTTCCAGACCATACGTGTACCCCGGATGTTAATGACTCTTTGCTTTGGCGGATGCTGTTCCCTTTGCTGGGGTGTCCTTTGAACCCATTTCTCTGGGAAGCACTTATCATTAAGCACTCAACAGTTCCTACCAGGAGCATCCAAATATCCTTTCCTGTCTCCCTTTCCCAGTTAAATTGTTTTCTTCCTGCATTATATTCTTGCTGTAGCTTGTTCAAGAAATATTTACTATTATAAATTATATTTGTCTTATTGTATGCTCACTGGGAATAAATGAAATAGCACAGCATTTAGGACTTCTAAGGTGCCATGGGAAAAAAAAAAACTTAAACCAAAAAACAATATATCAAGACAGGAGCTAGTCTAGTGTTTACCTTAACATTTTTGACATTTCTCCCTTCTCATGTTAGCAGTGCCCTTTAAAACCCAGCATTCCACTTGCTTTCTGTCCCTTTCACAGGGAGTAAGTGATGAATTGTTTTCTTAGACACACAGCTGGCTTTGGGTTTGTTTATTTGTTTAGGTGTGCGTCTGGACAATGACGACAGCAGTCACTGGAATGCTCAGTGTTCACCCAGGGCCTCTTTGGGAGAGCTACTGTAGGACACCAGGAAGTCTAATAATAATATTTTTTAGAGTTAATATTGTATTTATAGTCTCTGTTTGATCCTTATGTGCAATTCCTTTTGAAGCAAGACTTCTACAGAAGGCAGAAGGTACTGTAGTCATTATTGCTAATGACTAAAGATGCAGAAGTTGCTCTATCAAATAATAGTTTTTAGTATCTCATACAAGAGACTGATTAAAAGAAGGTCTTCAAACACAGGCTTTCCCTGTGTCTTTATTTGAAAAATATCGACACCTCTGCATTAAAGTTTGACTCAAAGTATAAAGATGACCTTACAGTTAATAAAAAGCTTAGTTCTCTGTTGGTAAAGTGCTCTTAGTCAAAAGGACTGCACATGAAGTGTCCTATTGCATAGTAGGACTTTTGCAAAGCAACACGCCAAAACAATGGAATCCTCAACCAGGTCTGCTTACTCAACATGCAAAAAGCCAATCACTGACATCAAGGGGATAGAAGAAAGGAGGTATTTACTGCCAAGTGCAAAGCAAGGAGCACTTGGTTAATTCCTGGGCTCCCCAAGTAGGAGTTAAGGGTAAAGGTTCTTACAGATTGAGATTGGGGCTGAGAGGTGTGTGATCAGCTCATGTCCAAGTTCCTGGCTCATTATATCCCTGTGATTGGTCAGCAGTGCTGTGCTCCTCAGGGCGCTGATGTTGGCCAGGTGGGCTCCCGTTGGTCTGGGGGAAGGGGGTTTCATGTAACTGGCAGTTACTTTCTGCCCCAGATTTGGAATTGCCCTGCTTGGACCTAGAATTCCCCAAAAGAAGCTTCTCTGGACAATCCTGGCCATCAAGCTTTTATCTATCTGAGAAGCAAATGAATTCCTAATTAGAACCTTGTAGAACCAGCTATACCACTCCCAATTCAGGGAATTATTTTGATAAAGGGCAGGTAAAGACACCTTGGGCTAAGAGAGACTGCAGAGGCTGGGTCCTACCTTTACATTATAGGGGTTTGGTCTCAGAGTGACGATAGCTGATAATAATGCATTATATATTTCAAGCTAGAAAAGAGAATCTTGAGTGTTATCAACTGCAAGAAATGATAAATGCTTGAGTTGATGGATATGCTAATTATTCTGATTCAATCAGTACACAATGCATATAGGTATGAGACATCACACTGTGTCTCATGAACATGTGCAAATATTATATATCAATTATAAACAAAATAAATTTTTTAAAAAACAGTAAATGTCTACCTGTTTTACAAGTAGGGGCTGTATTTTATTTATCTTTGTTTCCAGTGTCTGTAATTTAGAAGATATTTAACAAATGTTCCTTCAAGGAATATGGATGTCTATGATGATTATGTTTATAAGTGACCCTTTACCCTTACTTTGTTCATGGTATCGAAAGTAGGAATAAATGAAGAGAAATAGGTGTTACTGTTTTATCACACAGATAGACTTACCAAGTAGCTGTGCAGGAATTATTCTGTGTAGTTTGAGCATTTCTAATCAGAAATGCTACATATCCAAAACTGAGGACCAACACAGTGCCACCAGTGAAGTTCCATACCTCAGCGCATGTAAGGGGTTGTGGGAAAATGCAGGTGCGCTAAAGTTACATAGGAAACTCCTTCAGGCTATGTGTTTAAGTTGTATAAGAAGTATCAGTGAATTTCATGTTGAGGCTTGGATTGCATGCCTCAGATTTCTTTCTATATTGAAAAATATTCCACAATCCAAAAAAAAAGTATGAAATCTGAAACACTTCTTGTCCCAAGTGTTTCAGATTAGAGGTATGCCCAGCCTGTAAATATGTAAGAGCAAATATTGCCTTTTTGTTTGGAAATTACAACAGAGGTGGGTGCTCTGAAGCCAGGAGGGATGTGGCCATGAACTGACCCACACACACTTGGGTTTTTAGCTCAGGAGAGTACTAAATAAGGAGTGTGCATACTATGGTATTTCTAAGCTTCACAGATATGTCCACTCATCAAATACTTAGTGAACACCTACATTGTATGCTAGGCCATGAGCTGGATATTTAATATATTTATTTTAATTATAAATAAATGCATGTTATTCTTGCTGTTAAATAACTTTCTAAATGCTTAGACTTCTTTGGAGAGAGTGATGGAAAAGTACTTATCTCTATCTCTACCAACTATCTCCATCATTTGTGAAAATCTGGAAAGTACATATATCATGAATTTCCTTTAGCATGGTAATTGTTACTGAACTCAGTAACTTGAGTACTTGACCCAAAAATCAATCTATTCAAACACTATATATGTATTCCATAAACTTAAGTTATATAAAAAAGCAAGTTGACTGTAACAGTGTTTTGTAAAATATTTTTTTCTTCAAGATCCTTGACAGGGTAATAGTTAAAGTAGTTTTAAAGAAT